TTTTATTTGTACTCATACTTGCACAATTACTAATACATTTCCAGAAAGTTTAAAAAAACAAATACAAATTCTTATGGATCCTTGTCCATTGATGGCAGACTGACTGACTAATTTTGTAATTGTAATTTTCATTTAGCCTGTTAGCCTGGTAACCTGTTTAACCTGTTTTTGTGCATTGCACTTTCAAACCTTACATAATAACAGGTGCTTCTTACGTACGGGAACTGCACCAGTCAGAGCCGGAAAGCACTACAGAGGGTGGTGCAAACTGCAGAGGAAATCACTGGTCGCAGTCTCCACACAGTCCAGGACTTCTACCACAGCCGATGTCTGCGTAAAGCATGCATTAAGGACCACACCCACCCAGCACAAGGACTTTTCTGTCTACTACTCTCAGGTAGACGATACAGGAGTCTGCCATTGCATACAAAAAGTATGTAAGGAAACTGAAAGTTAAACTGGGTTTCTTTTTCAGAAACAGATCCTGTCCAACTCTGAATGCTAGGAAACACCTTGTAACTGCAACTTTCCTTTCCTCCATCAACTACGGTGACATTATTTACATGAACGCTCCTACAAGCACCTGCAGATGTTGGATGCTGTCTATCATGGAGCACTAAGATTCATAACTGGCTGTAACTACCGTACCCATCATTGCACCCTGTATTCACTGGTTAACTGGACATCATTAACTGGTCACAGTGACATACAATATTGCTAAACATCTGGCTGGTATTTTAGCTCCTCTTGTTGGAAACACACCTCATCACATAAAGAACTCCATTGATTTTGCTAACAAAGTTCAACATTTGAAGCTAACCCCAGGAGAAACCCTTGTATCGTATGATGTGACTTCTCTTTTCACTTGCATACCCATCTCTGAAGCAGTAGAAAACATCAGAAAACAACTTCTACAAGACAAGGACTTAATCAACAGGACCAACTTCACCCCGGACCAGATCTGCACCCTGTTGGACCTCTGCCTCTCCACCACTTATTTCAAGTTCAATGACAGTTTTTACAGACAGAAGCACGGCTGTGCCATGGGATCTCCAGTGTCACCCATTGTTGCCAATCTCTACATGGAGGAAGTGGAACAGAGAGCCCTACACTCCTGAGGGAACAACGCCAAGCCATTGGTTCCGTTATGTGGATGACACCTGGGTCAAAATCCAAGCCAAGGAAATAGAAGCGTTCACCAGACACATTAACTCGGTCGAAAACAACATCAAGTTCACCAGAGAGGATGCAAACGAGAACAAGCTTCCTTTTTTGGACTGTTTGGTTCAGATGGAAAGAGAGGACAGCCTCAACATTGAAGTGTACAGGAAACCAACCCACACAGACCAGTATCTTCTGTTTGACTCCCACCATCCACTGGAACACAGTCTCTGTCATCAGAACTTTACAACATCGGGTCGAACGCGTCCCCACGAAGACAGAAGGGAAGGAAAAGGAACAGAAGCTCTTCAAACATGTGGATATCCTAACTGGGCTTTGGTCAAGTCAGCGAGGAAATCTACAAAACACACCAATAAACAGAAAAAGGAGAACAACAGACATAAAAACATTGTCATCCCTTATGTTGCTGGAGTATCAGAGAAATTCAGAAGGATCTTCAACAAACACAAGATCCCAGTACATTTCAAACCCAGCAGGACTCTCAGACAGAGACTGGTCCACCCTAAGGACAAGACACCCATACACAAACAGAGTGGTGTAGTGTATGTGGTCCAGTGCAGCGAGGACTGTCCAGACCTCTACATTGGAGAAACTAAACAGCCTCTTCACAGACGCATGGCTCAACACAGGAGAGCCAGCTCTTCAGGACAAGACTCAGCTGTTCACCTCCACCTCACAGATAAGGGACACTCTTTTGAGGACCAAAATGTGCACATTTTGGACCGAGAACACAGATGGTTTGAGAGGGGGGTGAAGGAAGCAATTTATGTTAAAGAGAAAAACCATTTACAGAAAACCAACACACACAAACCAGTATCTTCTGTTTGACTCCCACCATCCACTGGAACACAAACTCTCTGTCATCAGAACTTTCAGATCTTTCAGATCAGAGAGGCCTCAGATTTCAACTTTCAAAAACCTATAATGCAACTTTAAGACTGATTCTCAGACGGTTTTCACACCTGATGGGAACAGAGGGGCCTCGTCTGTGAATTAGAGGAACAAAGACCTTAAGAAACTCCTACTGTTAAGGTGTTGAGGTGTGAATTATCAATCTACATATGTGTGTGTGTCTTATCTCACTCAGCCTTATAACCTGAATCTCTCACTCACTGCATTTTGAATTGAGAAAGCTCCTCGGATGAGGAGCAAAACTTATTCTGTTACAAATAAAGTTCAGTTGTTTTTGTATCGAACGTTTTTGAATTGGACATCATTAACTTCACACAGACTCTCCCACTGGTACATTTTCATCTTTAAATCACTTCCTGGTCTGCTGCCTTCATACATCTCCTCCTACATGTCTCTGTGTGAGTGCAGCTACAGCGTGCGCTCTCAGGACATCATTACCTGCAGTGTTCCCTCAGTAGCTATGTTTACATGCGCAGAATTCTCTGACCGGATTGAAACGTGTTCTGTTTGAATAATTCAAATGTGTTGTTTACATGGGCACAATCTGTTCATGACGAGCGTTTACATGCAGCGGGCTTTGTTCTGAACAGCAGTACTGACATGCGCAGAGTGGTAAACTCTCCTTAAAAAAACCACCGAAGAAGAAGTTCTACTTCCGGGTGAACGTAAACAAACCTGAGCACCCAAAATGGACCCGCGACAGGTTTTAATGATGGTGGAGACGTTACTGCACTCCCTGACTGAGCTACAGGTGATACAGATCATTTTGAGCTCTTTAAAAGTTTCTAGTAGAAATGTTGTGTCGCTCACCGACCAGTTTTACTTCCCTGACATGCTAATATTATTAGCGTTAGCCAGGCGGAAATGGCAAAGTCGCACATGCGCAGTCAGGTCAGTTTTTCACCATCAGATAAAAACGAACAGATCAAGCGTTTACATGCGCACTGATCGGGTTTCGGATCGGCGTAAACCACCCGTTTCGTTCTGATCACAAATTATAACGGATCGCGCCGAATACACAAAAAATAACCCGAACGGAGTGTTTACATGACACACTTTTATTCCGACCGGCCATTTGATCCGGTTACTTATGTCCATGTAAACATACCCAGTGAGGACTGAACTAGACAAAAGGACCTTCTCCTACTCCGCTCCTGTTTCCTGGAATATCTTGTAAAAAGATCTGAAGCTCTCGACCTTTGACCTCTCTAATGGATTTTAAACTCTGTTAAGTTCCTGGCAAAAACCAGTGCAGACATGTTCCTATTTTTAGTTTTCTAAATCTCCTTATAATCCAGTTGTTGTTTTTTTGTTGCTACTATTCTTCTTGATTGTTCTTTTGGTTGCTATTTGGTTTTGATTTGTTTAAAAAAAAAAAAAAAAAGAATTTGTATGCCTCTTTTATGACTGTTTATTGTTGTCATCACTCTGTTAAAGAAATCAGGTCTCTCTTGTAAATGAGTCCCCGAGGCTCAATGGGGTTACCTGTCTAAATAAAGGTTGAATGAATTAATGAACAAAAAGACTAAAAGACAGCTATTATCCACAAGCTGTCAGATTACTAAACTCTCGATAAATAACTTAATAACTGACAATAACTTTGCACCAAGTCACATCTGTGAAAACAGATATGACTAATATTAGCTTGTGATACCTAATATGTTTATTATTTATTGCTGCTGCACTATGTGGCTGTATCTAGGCTGATATAGGTGATATCATGTATGATACAGTATCTATGAATCTACCTTACCATCATAATTCAATCTCAATGTCACTCGCTAACTGTGAAATAACCTGTCACACAATTTGTGTAGTATATGTT